GTTTTTGGGTTTCTTTTTTGTTTATGACCAGATTCCTAACTTATGATTATGTAAAAAGCTATAAAATGATAAATTTTGTTGTGATATGGTGTTTAAATGTATTAGTGGCAGAGTTTTGTCCGCTATAGGACACCACATTAGATTTTGTAATACCCCATATATCTTTTAACCAGCTGACAAATAACACGTTTCTTATCTTATACATATTATGTAATTTGTCGAATTCTGATAAGTAGTTTAGAAGTTACGAGAGAACAGATGAACATACATACATATAGCCTATCAAAATCATAACATTCCTTTTGCTTTGCCATAGTCGGGTAAAAATAGGGCTTTTATATATTTTTCCACGAAAATATTGTTAAGTACTTTAACTCACAACTAACTTCAGTACTTTTAGCTTAATTATCTTGGTCGGCTCAATAGGCATACAATGGTTACTATCTCAGCATCAAATCAATTTTCATTTTCGCATATTTAAGTATTTACGTAAATTCGCACATTTAGGCCATAAAAACACATAGACACACATAGACATGATATACTTCAGTGAATACTACATTACCTTACGAACGAAACACTTTCTCTCGGAATATCACGATTTCTGTACTTTTTATGAAGTAACGCTGGTAAATGTTCCGTGATTTCTTCGATTTTTTGCGCCAGATTTTTTAATAGCGGTAGTATTCTACAATTGACCTACTAACTTCTAAAAATTTCTTTCTCCATGAAATTCATTTGTAGTTTGATCTAGAGCTAATTAATAATTTAGACTGATTGTTCCATCACCTAACTCACCGTGTGGCAAAAATTTCTGCCCTATCCAACTTAGTTTAGCCTGTCTAATTAAAGTCTTGCTCATGAATCACTTGTTCTTCAGCTATTGTTTTTAATTATTTTAATGTGTACGCCTGGGAAATCACAGGACGCAGCAGTAACGCGTTCAATGGCTATTTTATATTAAGAGCTACATTTTACTAGTTGACCGCTAATACCAAATTTTTTGTTTGATTTTTAATGGCAGTTTTTTTTATTTAAAAAAAATGGCAGCTCCAACGAAAAATTAACCCTCATTACTAACAGCATTAATTTCAAAAATGTCTGTAGTCTCTCAATCCCATTTTGTACCGCGTGGCACCCCTGTCGACTAGCTTAGGGCGTATCACTTACTGAGCACTATCTATAACGGTCGCGGTCCAGCCCAGGCCCAGATTTACGGCTACTACCTCTGATAACGCTTTAGGAAAACTCTACTAAGTGGTACCTGTTCGGTTATCAGACGAAATGTAGGTCAATACAGTCGAGTTAAGTGTAGCGTGGCCGATAATTTTCTTTTGAAATTCTTGTACAAAATTCTAAATAATATAATTGACTGTCCACAAATTGTTTCTGGTTTTAACTTTAATATACCTAACAAATACCCACGGAAAACCATTAAGTTATTTTACCCACCCCGTCGAAAAACAGTTTTAGGCATTAACTCCCCAGTTCCCAGATAATCTAGGCTCTTTAACAAATTTGACTGTAAGCTGGACCTTTTTGGTGCTTCCCTTAATGCATACAGGAACCAAGTCCGTAAGATCAGCACATTATAATGCGTGCAGGTTGTGGGTGGCATTATACTAAGTACAACTTGTATGTTCCGTGCAGTGCCAGTATTGTATTGGTTTTGTAAGCTGTAGGAAAGTGTAATAATGATATAGGTGCTTATTAATAAGTAAGAGTACTTAGTTTAAATTTAAAACTTATCATCCATGTATTTTGTGAATGTGGTGTTTGTCAATTAATATTGTACACAAAGGCTATTTTTTAACACCTGTGCTTGTATACCTAATTGTTAATTTTTGTGTAATAATTGTAGACAAACCAATAAATAAATAAATAAATAAATAAATAAAATAAATAATTTTGGTCTAGGCTATGAGAAAATTCTACGAGTATTTATTCATATGTTTGTCTTTCTTAAATATAAAAATGAATTATTGTTGTAGTCTCGCTAAAGCTCGAGAACAGCTGGTCTATTTTGGATAATGCTGGTCTTAAAATAGGTATTTCTTGTACTAGAAAGGTTCAAAAGGTCAGAAAATTATAGTTTTATTCGAGGCGGTACAGAGTTCGTCTGGTCATGCATAAAGCTAAAGAGTACCTTTGTTTGAACGCGTTAATATTCGCGACTACTATCTCAATTTGAACAATTAATTATTTTTGCGTTGGAAAGTGCATTAATTGAGTTAGGTTAGTTTCTTGTGTGGTGTTCTTTTTAGAAGTCGGATTGTTCATTACAGTATTGAGCGTAGAGGGCAATATTTCACACTAAAATCAATTTGCAAAATGGCCATATTAAGTACCTATATTTTTTTATCAGTAGTTTCCATGCTTCACAAAAAGCTCAATCATTGTTACGCACTTCAAAAAATTTGACGCGGGAAATCGATCAGTTCCACAATATTGTTGTGTTTTGATCCAAGTATTAAGTTACCACGCGTTTGAATATAAAGTTACAAGTTTCACTTACTTGAAACCATACAAGTAAGGTTTTGAAGGGAGAAAAAATGCTCATTCTGTTTGGTGACAGTTTTGTGTGAAAGGAAAAGGATCGAAGTATGTTAAAGAAGGTTCTATTTATGGCTGGATCTAGTCTTTTCTTTACATGGTATAGGTCGGCAAACGAGCAGATGTATTACCTGATGGAAAGCAATCGGCACCAACCACCGGTAGAGGTAGATGTATGTAATGTAATACCATGCAGGATTGCCGGCCTTTTTGAGTGCTGTTAGGGATTCGGGGACAAGCGATGACGTAGTAAGGATTGGATTAGGACACCAGTTTTCTGTGTGGCCGTAATATCATTTCGTTTGAGCTTACTTGAGCCGAAACATGGATACCTCATGCTTAAAATCATACTTACACCTTAGAGGCTTAGAGGCTTAGAATCTATTTATTCGCAATCAGGATCTTATCTCTTATCCATACTTAATATTATAAAGAGGTAAAATTTGTAAGTTTGTATGTAGGGGGTAATCTTTGAAACCACCGGTCGGATTGCCAAAATTCTTTTACTGATAGATAGCTACAATGTTTCTGAGTGCTATAGGCTATAAAACATCACGCTACGATTAAATGGAGCTGAGCAGCGGGTGAAACCGCGCGAGAGTAACTAGTACTCAATAAACATTCTCTTATTAACACTTGACCAAAGAGAACGAGGTTTTTGGCAGTGTTGTTTTCATCATAATTAAACGTAGGCAGATCGAGTAGGCTAGGTCTAATTAAATTTTGGCCTGCCATTACGTCATCATTTAGCGTTAATAGATAAGATCATAAGACTATGAATTATTAACAGCTTATGCTATAGTAAGTAAACTATGCAATGGTTTTGTAGGTAATATGACCGTAGATGTAGTTTTAAGTGTAGGAGAGCCATGTTTCTGCATCAATGGGTCGGCTCGACTGGAGTGATACCACGGCCTCACAGAAACCGGCGTGAAGCAACCCTTACGTTGTGTGTCGCGTGATGTAGGTTACCGGAGGCAAAATCCAAACCCCCCCCCCCCTCCTAAAACTTTTAACTTATTCATATTTATCCTCAAATCCGTAAATCCCTAACAACCCACAAGAGGCCGGTACGGTAACTCACTTGTACTAAATCCATTGGTATTGCGAGTGTCCATGGGCGGCGCACATTGCTTACCATCAGGTAATCCGTCTGCTTACACTTTCGAGCGACCACCTATCTTCATTTATGAACAGACTGACAGACTATTATTCTTAGTTGACGTTTCAAAAGTACCTGTTTATCGTTTAGTTGCTGTTTTCGACTAAATATTAGGAAATAGTCAGTAGATCGTCTTAAAGTTATTCCTTTGGAAACAGTAACGATTTTATTTTACGTAGGTATTTTTATATTGGTTTGTAGGTAGGTACCTATGCTTAAACTCTTCTAATAATACCATTATTTAGTTAAGACAATGACCTTTGAAGGACGTGACAGCTGAGATAATGGATACATTTGTCGATTGTGGGGTAAATAAGATTCGGTTTTCGATGTACGGAAGATTACTTGTATTTGTAAGTTATAATGCCTGTATTTTTACTTAGGTAGTTAAGTACTTAATCATCGGAAGGATATGCGCATAATTTAGTTGGATACTTAATTTACCTACTTAATTTTTATTAAATAGGTACTTAGACTAATTGATTTTGTAAGTGTACCTCTACGTTTAGTAAGCACTATTGGAGGTGAGTAGGTACTAATTATATTTAAGTTATTTATGTCCAGTATTGTCTGTTTTTATTAAATTAAATAGCTTCTTACCAAGTTTCAAGTTCATTGATATTCCACAAAGCCCAAAGAATAATGAAACAAAACACACGGAATTCAACCTAAATGCTTGTAAACTAAAGTTTAAAATCAATCAACCTGACACTTCGTCAGTAAAATTATGGCGCGACATTCCAAGAATTGGCGGGGAATGAATTTCAAACATGCAGATTTTTTTTTTATTGTAGGCACGGTTGAGCCCGTGCGGCCTTTACAAGATGAGGTTTTAAAATCAGGTTTTGCCTTTTTCGACTCGGGCTTAATTATTACCTACATGACTGCCTATACCTACGTATAATCTTTGCTTTTCTTTTTTATTTAAGTTTTTGTTGCTAACTCAGGTCAGAAATAAGGTAACTTGTATGACTAACATGAATCGTTCGAAACTAAAGATATTATTATTTCTAAAGAGTTAGAAAGAAAGAGAAACCCTAATAGGAACCTGTAATGATGTTACACAATTTCTCCTTGATATTTCAGCTGCTCATTTTGTAACGAGCTGCATAAATAATTTCAACAATGGCGTGCATCTTCATGCAAGTGTAATTAGAGCTACGCAAGAATGTAAGCAAGTAAATAACAGGGAGCGCGTGTCACAGTGCGTTGTGCTTCGGTCAACGCCTTCACAACTAGTCACACAACTTTTTAAACATAAATAACTACATTATTATTAAAATACCTTAATATCACAGTTTATTTAAAATTCAAACTGCTGCTTCTGTGTTGCAGAAATAATCAACATCCAAAAACTTCGCTGGCAAAAACTTTGTTTTTCAAACGATCTTTGAAATTTTTTAATGAAAGTCAAATAATAAATAAAAAAAACAACTGGTAGGTATTAAAACTTTTTTACGTTCCGTTCACTTTTTTCGACATGATTTTTTGAATTTTTTTTCATAAACTTTTTATTTATGAACACAGTATTGACGACGAGTACGATTATTTAAGTTTTTATCGCGCAGGCGTTCAGTATCGAGCGTTGCTTCCCCGCTAGCCGGCGGCAAACTAGTTTCGTGTTCGTCTGGATTCCCATCGTTGCACCGCATTTCTCCGAGGCCAGACAGAAACAGCACTTCCCTCTCTTTCTCGAGCTTTTTACACCACGGTGAAGCTTATCATTATGGGATTGATAATTATTCAATGGAAATGAAGTATGGATGGACCTGCTTTATATGCTGCTAGAGTGTACAGAACAATCGAATCTAGTCGATTTCAATGTAAATTGTTTACGCTTGTAAGAAACAATGTCGGCGATATAATGAGTGGAATTTAAATAGATTTGGTTATTTTTAGAGCATTGCACAGTTGCACTTGAACTTGCTTCGGTGTTTTCTCATATGGCTTTCCGAAAATTACTACCTACTTCATTGGTCGACTTATTGAGTGGTGGTTAACGCGCTTGCCAAGTAAGATCGGGTTCAATTCTCAGGACGGAGAAAATAATTACTTATTAGAGAGTTATAAGGTAATTACTTAGATTATAGAAAATCCTCAATAATGGATAGGTAATATCAAATCAGTAGAGTATGACCGGTGACTCGCCCCTTGTTTATTGAATGCAAACATCCTAGTCCGAAGATTAAACTTAATCTTCGCTGACTATAGCTTTTTCTATAAAGCAAAAAAATGTTAAGTAAGTCCTACATTCTGTTAAAGGAGTTGCTGTATTTAGGTTTGTTAAACGCCTAGTAAAAATTTATTTCTCTTCGCTGTGAAATAATATTTCCGTGCATATCTGCGGCGCGATCATGCGACTATTTTGCACTTAGGTACATACGTATTACATAGAATATCACTGGTTTCATTTTCTCTTCGGTTCAAGCAAAATACTTAGGCAAAGCTTCACCACTCGACCAATGAGGCTGTCGCTTATGGTCATAATATGCCGCTTATGTATTAGGTATGTTAAGAAGTTTGAAAATTAATCTTAACATTGTTGTTAAAAAAGTTTATATTTTTCTGTTTTTGAATAATAAATTAGATGATAAAATATTGAAAGCATGGTAAACTAAAGGAAACCAATAAGTTAAATATTTTGGGTGGAACCGAATGTAAACGTCAATCCAGCATGTCATTTTGACGTACACAATAACCTCAAATTTTAAATAAACTCCACCTGTGTTTTGTTTGTGTAGGAGCGCTCAATGCTCAAAAAATATTAAAAATGAGTCAAGAAAACGTTAGTAATAGTAATGATCATCATGAACGCGATGACCATAAGAGGAGGCCGCGAAAAAAGCGAAAGAACTTCCTTGCAAACGCTAAAAAATATGCCAAAAAGGGTCAAATGGGTCGAGGTACGAAGATATCTGAAGAATTGTACCAATATTTCGTTGGTATCCTAGACGCCATGAAGCAAGGAATACAAGATAAAGATGAGAGAAGTAAGTTTACACTTTAATTGTTGGTATTTCTTTGTCAAAAGTTAATAAATTGTTATGAACCAATATCTAATCTCATGGCTATGTTGCTGATCAGCTAATGAGAACTAGTATTACTTAAAAGAAAGCAGTTTACGTCCGGTAGTCTCAATGAGAATTTGACATTGTTCCTGTATTACTAAAATCATTATATTGATTATAGTGAGTGTTAAAATAGAACACCAATGTTGATGATAGGGAGTATATACCACATGTTTCATGACTTAAACAAATAGCCACTAAGTAATTATAGTCATTGATCTGTAGGAGGTAGAAACACAATATGCACTCCTTAGCATACTCACTCACATAATTATATATTGTCAGTTTTTTTTTTATATTTTAATTTACAAATATTGTGCAATGACTGCAATGCTTAGTAAAGCGCTAGTTACTAGATACTTTTATTTTATTAAAGTGAATTGCATTAAGTGACTAAAGATTTAATTATGTAGCTCAGTTATTAAAATGATTGAACTTTTTTTAATATTTATTAACTAAAATTGTCTGCTTTCAGGTGCCTTAGTAAACAATGTCCTAGAACGGACTAAAGGGGAAGAACAGAATGTGGTTGGCAACCAGCTTGGTTGCAGAGTTGTAGAGCTCCTACTGCCCTTCGCAACTCCAGAAGACCTAGAACGGTACATGGAAGTCCTCTCACCAGATTTACGTAGACTCTGTTCAGACAACTTCACCAGTCATGTAGTAGAGACATTACTACGAGCAGCCTGTGAACGAGCTATAGAACATATGCAAACCAATGAAGACCAAACATCAGACTCTGAAGAAGAAGCACCGAAGAAGAAAAAGCCAAAACTAGAACCGAAAACAGAAAAGAAATATACAGAAGATCATATAAAAAAATGCTATGAATTCACTATTAAAATATCTAAATATGCTCTGAATAACTTGGAAGACTTTGTTTGGGATCAATACGCAAACCATATACTCCGTAGTGTTCTTAAATGTCTCAGTGGCATTACGTTACTGCCAGGAGAGAAACCCAAAGTAAACATATTCAAAGACACTGTAGATGATGGTAAAGGAATACCACCACATACAGGGAAAATGGTGTACAAGAATGTTCCAGATGAATTCAAAGAAATAGTCAAAGAGTTTGTACACCGATTGACTTCGTGGCCACAATTTAAAGATTTACCGTACCAAAATATTACTTCAGGATTAATTCAAGTATTGTTGTATGCAATTAAGAATGTTGATAAGAATGCAACGAAGGACTTGCTACGGAAACTGTTAGATGAGAGCTTTGCTCCGGAGGACTGGGTGAATAACGGTGAGGATGACAAGAAGGAGGTCAAGGATAGTAATGGAGTAGTTGTGGATACTTCGAACCTACCACCTGTTTTTGAATCTGAACCTGCTGTGAGGCAAGTAAAGTTATTGTGTTATTTATGTAATGCTTGGAGTTCTTTGTCACATCATGGACTGGCAAATTTTTCTGAATTATCAGTCTGATCTTAGTTTTTATACAAATTTTAGGCATCAGGGTGACTGGCTTTCACAAAAACGGCTTATCTAATGATTAAAAACTTGACAGCAAAAATGATATTAAAAAAAAATTGGATGTGTTAATAAGTATAAAGTACTGTCCAACATTTTTTTTACTCTGGATGACTCCAATAAGAACACAATGATAAACATACTTTAAGTGTGGGAGATCCAAGCTTCAGCACGAATGAGTCGGCTCGACTGGACTGATACCACTGCCTCACAGAAAACCTGCGTGAAATAACAACAGCGTTGTATTTCGCCGTGTGAGTGAGGTTACCGGAGGCCCAATCCTTCGGGATCTTCAGGGATTTGGAGATTTAATCCCAATCCCCTCCCCCAATCCCCCCCTCCCCCAATCCCTAAATCTCCAAATCCCTAATCCCTAAAAGGTCGGCAACGCACTCGTAAGTCCTCCGTTGCGAGTGTCCATGAGCGGCGCTGATTGCTTACCATCAGGAAATCCGTCTGCTCGTTTGTCGACCTAATATTACATAAAAAAAATAAAAAATAAACTTATCCACATTTTAATTGTGTGGTTACCTCTGTCAAAAAAGATTTTTTTCAATTTATAAAACTATGACAATAGTTAATCACACGTCATTAATTAATTTTACAGTATGCTGAATATTCGTATTTTTTTGAAATGTAGTATGCTATTTGACGTAAGTTAGGATGCTATTTGACCTATGACGTCATAACGTGCTATTTAATACATACAGAAAAATTTAGTTTTTAACAAATTGAATAAAATATTGAATATGACAAATCGGTAACGATCCTATTAAGAATTTAGTAGCTTGTAGTACTTTTAATTAAACAAAGTTAATCTACATTACAGAATGTTGGAAGCGGCTCTCTTCGTGTCCAAGAAGAAAACGTACACGCAGATATACGCGCGCTGCTTCATCAACCGGCTGGGGCAGCTCGCCAGCATGCCCATGCTCAACTACACCGTGCAGCGGCTCATTGACAACTGTGAGGTTAAGGAGGAGGTGGGTAAATACTAATGAATTACCTTACTTTAAAAAAAGTTTTTGTTTTTAGGAGTTCTTATTTATTTTTACCTGAGGAAATAGCTTCACTAGAGGACAGACGGACAGAGCTTTTTGCTTGACGTTCAAAAGCCTAATTGATTCTAATTCTTCCTATAACCAATACTTTAAACCACTTTGTATACACACGCTGTGAGCCTACCTTATAATAAATAAATAAATAAAAGTACCTACTGTGGTCAAATTGAAATAAATGATTTTGACTTTTGTACAATGCTAGTATGTACTTAATGTGCCAGGATATTTTCTCAAAATAATACCAAGTCTTCACAGAAAACCAGTGTGAAATTACTTTTGCGATGTGTTTCTCTATGTAAGTGAGGTTACCACAAACCTTATCTTTCCAAGATTCCAAGACTTGGGACGGGGGATCTCCTGTCCTCAAAACCCTATTTCTCTCTTGTTTTTTATTTGTAACTAACGGATCTCCCTTGCTTCGCATGGGCCATACCACTACCCCGGTGTCCGTCATTTGTTTCGCAAGCGAAGGGCCCCGGCACAGAAATGGTTGTCAATTCCCGAAATTCCCCTTTACTTTTCTAAAAACTTTAGAAAAGTAAGTCTTTCCAAAAGAATTGGCAAAATTGGTCCAGGTGTTATCGAGTTATGCGCTTACCAACACATTTCGTGATTCATTTTCATATTATAGATAGGCCACTATCTATCTATTTTTATTTGGCCATTATCTCGTCTGGTGGTAAACGATGATGCGACCTACGATGTAGCACGCCTACCCATAACCAACCTATTCTCGCGCGTCGAAGACACCCTTTCAGAAACACAAGCTATACTTAATCAACTCTTAATTTGTGGTTCTGATGAAAATACCTCGGTAACACGGACGCGAATGGCTTCGTGCCTGTGGGTGGGATATCCACCAATTAATTACCTGGCATACCTAACAACGATTGCATACCATTTGATAATCTACCTGCTTGTTTGCCGACCTGTGTCCCACACAAAAGATTTTTAAAACTTAATACCTAATAAACTTGATCGTGCAACTTGAATTTTGCATTTGAATAGAATTTGTATTTAAATATGTAATATTATAATTTTCAGTTTGAGCCGATGTTCGATGAGCTCTCAGATCGTATGGGAGCTCTCCTCGCCTGCGGGAACACTGGCGTCCTGGTCGCACTCGCCAAGGCCTGTCTGCGACTCAAGGCTAAACAGGCCCAGTATCTAAATGTACGTATCATATTTATAGTTTTGGTTTATCACTTAAAACTTAAAGAAAAAACGAAATTACAGAAATTATGACAACATCCAATATAATCAATTCATAATTTCCCTCAACCTCCCTCAGAGTCTAGAAGCAGCCCTAGACTGTTCGTCCCCGGAACACCAGAAGTACTTCCCGGTGCTGTGCCTCCGCCTCCTGCCCCGGGACCGCGTGGACCTCGCGGCGCTAGACAAGGACTACTTCATCCATGTACACGGATCCGTCATACTGCAGACTGTACTTGACTTCCAGGTATAGATGATAGCACTTTTTGTTGTGAGGGGAAAATCATCAAATTTCTTCTCAAATCTCTCCTTTTCATGCTCTAGGCCGCGGTGCCTCATAGCACTTGCCACGATTAGGTCAGCTTATCACTTCGTTGATACCAGCACATCATAGAAAACTGGTAGCAACGTGTTTTGACGTGTGATTGGGGTTGCCAGAGGCATCTATGCCTTTTCTACTTCTATTCAACTTTTGTATCATATTTTATCTTTACCTGTATCAACCTAACCACAACTTGGAAGCTACACCAATCACGACCAAGCAATATAAAACTTATTTTCACTATCTCTTCCATCTCTATTCGTTCCAGCGTCCAGCAAAAGCAGTATCAGGTCTACTGGAGCTGACTGGAGACCAGCTAATGATAATACTGTGTGACGCCAAGGGATGTCACGTTGCTGACGCTTTCTGTAAGGGACAATTTGTAGGAGTCAAGGCACGGGACAAGCTCATATGGAGGTTAAAGGTATGCTACACGATTTTATGTCTTATCTTTAATGCAATTAGATAGGTTTTTTGTTTAAATTGATGTACAGTGTGTGTTCAAAGGATTTCAGGTATTATTGTAAATGCAATAAGATAAATTTTTGTTTAAAATTGATGTACAGTTGTGTCGTGTGGGTTTGGAAAGTAAGGCTTGTTATAATGGAGTAAGGATGGTATTAATATGAGTAGTTTGGATATTCGCCGTTTGAGTGGATTTAAACTAGTCGAGCTCCTTTTTAAACAGTGAAAACTAAACGTAAAAAATAATAATTTGGCATGTACATGTCTCAAGGGCAGTATTAAACTCGATACATCGACACTCGACATAGTATAAACCAAAGCCGCTTTCTCTGTTCCTATGTCCGTATGTATGCTTACATCTTTTAAACTACGCAACGGATTTTGATGCGGTTTTTTTTGTAAATAGATTGAAGAAGAAGGTTTATATGTATAATAACATCCATTAAATAGTGGAGTAATTTAGTATCAGTATTGCACCCCGCGAAGCCAGTGCGGGTCGCTATTAAAAGTAAATTTTACTCTGATTTTAATTCGTCTGGGTTTTTATGTAATAGGCTACGAATTACCTGATGGTAAGTAATCATCGCCGCCCACGGACACCCGCAACAGGGGAGTTACGAGTCCGTTGCCGACCTTTTAGGGATTAGGGATTTGGTGATTTAAAGATTGGGCCTCCGGTAACCTCAATTACACGGCGAAACAAAACGCTGTGGTTGTTTCACGCCGGTTTTCTGTGAGGCCGTGGTATCACTCCGGTCGAGCCGAAGCATAGCTCTCCCACACTTAAAACACTTTCTTAAATGTATAATTGCTTTTTCTTATTTCAGGGTTACTACCAAAAGCTAGCACTCTCCCAGTACGGGTCGCGGGCATTCGAGCAAATATTCCAAGTTGCTTCTCTAGAGCAGAAGATAAAAATTATGACAGAGTTATCTGACAAGAGCAATCTTCTGAACAGTACACAGTACGGTCGTCTGGTAGCTAGCAAGCTGGAGGTAGATACGTTCAAACTGTCGCAGAAGAAATGGGAAGAAACGTGGAAGAAGAAAGAGGTTCAAAATAAATGATTTTGTTGATATTTTGGGGTTTTATTTGTAGCAGGTAGTCGTGTACGCACGGGGCGTCATTTGGGAGCCTGGCATGTAACTAACAATAATAGGGATGTCTCCTGGGTTAAAACAACAAGATTTTAATTAGTCCGTCAGTTAGATTATAGAAAAATACTCGATATGTATTTTTTATTTGTCCATACGAATAATATTGACAAAGATACAGCACATTCAAATTCAGGAGTAGGGATTCGTGACGTCACTCTTTCGTAAAAATTTTACGAAATAATGACGTAGCGCGAACTTTCGCCGCTCTGTAAGTTTGTTATTTTAAATTTTAGAAGCAAAAGAAAAAATACGTATCTACTATTTTCTGGCGTTCTAAAAGATGGACGAATTATTATTTTTTAGACATCATCCCTATTATGAACCTTTTTTATATCAGTAAAAGAAAATTAATCCTAGATAGGATACCTAAATAAGGTAGGCTTGTAATTGCAAATAGTAGGTATATTTTTATTCCATTTATCCTTAGTATTGTGTTTTAATGTGAATGTTTCAACCAGTCTTTTTCTGCTGTTTCTTCTATATCTTCAGTATACGTTTATTTAACTTAAGCCTCGCATGTACAAATGTGTTATCTTCGGAATTATAAGTTTGTATATTTAGACTCCGCTGACATTCGAAATTCGTGAAGGAAATCATAAGGAGTCCCAGTCCCCAGGGCGGAAAGGCGGACCCAATCTTTAAATCCCTAATCTTCAAAAATGTTGAAGAGAAGATACTTTACCTAGGTACCTAATCCACGAAGTCTTCACTATTGGTTTTTTTTATGGTATAAGTCGGCAAAAGAGCAGACGAATTACCTGATGGTAAGCAATCGGCGCCGCCCATGGACACCCGTAACACCAAAGGAGTTACGAGTGCGTTGCCGGCCTTTTGGGGATAGTGGTTGGGGATATAAGGACCGGGAAGGGATAGGAGAAGGGGAGGGATTGGTACAAAGTTTTCTTACTTCTTACACAACACAAATACCTTTACAAAACCTTGTTCTGCCGGGGTTGTGTTGCAGGACTAATGCAATAAGGTGCCGTGGCCTCGGCCTCGAGCGAGAAAAGGACCAGGGGTTTTTAGTCAGTAAGAGCTGACACTCCCTCTCGCCTCGTCTTACGCGAGAGAATTTAATAATATCCCCCTTACAAAAAACCCCTATTCATTTTATTACTTCGCTTTAGCCGCAAGTCTGCCTGTGGCGAGCTGTCGGGCAGTAGCGACCCCACGGACATGATTCCCTGGAGGTATCTTGTTCTTCATCATCATCCTATAAGTGCTCACTGAGAAAGTTTTGACCATTAATCACCACGCTTGCTCAATGCGGCTCAGTCTTGTTTTTCATCTCTGTATAATTAACGAAGAAAAGTCCTCCCACCTTAGGCTCACCTCATCTGGCGGGTATGAGTGGATTCGCAAGAGAAGGAGCTGTAGGAAACTCAGGGAAAGCATGAAAGTATCTCAGTAAAATGCTAAAACGCCATTGTTTTTCTTAAATTACTTTATTATTATCAGACGGGGTACTGACAGATGCCGTTACACCCAGCCGGCTCCACTCCTGGCTGCAGTTTGCATATCCTATTGCCGCAGACATATTCACCCTTCCGCACTTTCATTTGCAGCTCGCTAGGTGGCGCTGTAATCAATTAAGGAAATTATGAATAAGAATAATAATAATCTCCATGTTACTGTTATAGTCTACATATTAATCTTAGGATAAATACTATTGTTATTGTAACTATGAGTACCTAAATGAAAATTAGAATTGGGTTAAAGTGAAGTGTCCTAGGTCAAAAATAAATTAATTCGACGTTTTAATACAATAAAATATTGAAAAATAACTATACTTTTATTCATCGATCGATCGATACACTAAGTTTAAGATTTTTTAGCTCATTATTCAGAAATAAGTAAGCTATTTGACGCAAAACTGTTATGACGTCATACCTCAGTTTTTCATACAAATTTCATAGAAAAGTACCGTTTTTGACATTTGGATAAAAGTATTGAATTTGACTAGTTGGAAACTACCGTATTGTTTATATGTATAGTAGTAGTATAACACTACGACTATATAGAGTCTTTCATGACAATAATAATATTAGTTGTCCCCAACCTAGGTTTTGCTGAAATTAATTCCATTGTAATATTGTTGAAGTTTATTATTTTTTTAAATTAAATGGTTATCAAATATTTGAGCTTGAAGTGAACTTAAAGCCATTATGGACATTCTATTTCAGTGAAATTTTTAGAAGACGTTGTGTAGTGTAACAAAAATCGCAAGTTACTCTCAACCAGCAAATTATTTGGTCGCCGAAAACTAAACATTTGCTCGCTGAAATTGGTATCTTGTCATCAGTAGGGAACTCTATTCATCTATCAGCACTTTACGACCTTTAGCGGATCATTATAACCACCATATTTAAATAAAACTATCTAAAAGAATAATTATCGCAATATTTCACTGTACAGTTAGCACAGTAGCTGGGTAACCGGCTGCTGTGTAACGTGTCGCAGGTTTTACTCCTTCACAGAACAACTCTTTGTGTCATTTGGCTTTTCCGGTCTATGTGAACTTTAACCTTAACCCGGAATCAAAATGAAGGATAAAATCCCAAAATTGGGCAATGTTTTTTTAAGAAACATATCTCACCTTCAGCAGGCCTGTAACCTTTGACCCCGCCTCCAGGCCTCGCCCAAGGCCAAGGCGACCTCTTATCTCGAGGCCCAAACTCGTCTACCTTGGGTTTGTTAATGAGTATGTGTCGTCTGTCAGAGTTTATGTTGGCAGCCGACGCCAGGCACACAGCCAGACACACAGCCAGAAGCAGTAACTGGAATTGGAGAGAGGAATTATTACGTTGAGGTTGACTGGTAGAGAATGCCTTCGGGTATTAAGTCCGCCTTTGTTAAAATATTGTGTACCTACATAAAGTATTAAAATAAATAAGTATTAGGTGCTAGCTTCCGCCCGCAGCTTTGCCCGCGCCATCTATATAATATAATATAATAATATATAAAAGAAAGTCGTGTTAGTTACTCCTGGTTACTCCACTTATAACTCAAGAACGGCTGAACCGATTTAGCTGAAAATTGGCAGGGAGGTAGTTTAGAGCCAGGAGAAGGACATAGGATAGGATAGAGTTGGTAGTGTAGGGTAGGTAGATTAAGGTATGTAGAGTAGGGTAGGTAGAGTAGGGTAGGTTGAGTAGGGTAGGCAGAGTAGGGTAGGGTAGGTAGAGTAAGGTAGGTAGTGTAGGGTAGGTAGAGTAGGGTAGGCAGAGTAGGGTAGGTAGTCAACTGACGGGAGCGACACCGCGGGTAAGAGCTAGTATATTGATAAAAATCAGCCTACATGTCAACCAAATCGGTCCAGCCATTTTTGCGTGAAAGAAAAAGTCTTGGTCAAAAGAGTAAAATTTAGGAAAAAAAATAGAATAAGTAGGTGACGTACGAATTACATCAGTGCAACTTTGGTTTTCAAAAATAAAAAATCTCACTAGATATGTAACTAAACAGCGAGCATGGAGTACGAAAATCTGGTCTGAAGAAAAGGTGCATTTTTTATTACTTACGTAACTAGGCCTAATCCTTTTCAGGAGATTTGGGGATTGAGAGTAGGTGACCCTCAATCCCCAAATCCCCTGTTCATAAATCTCTAACTATCTACAAAAGGCCGACAACACACTTTTAACTCCTTTAGGTGTTACTGGTGGCCATGGGCGGCGTTGATTGCTTACCATCAGGTAAACCTTAAAAAAAGAAATGTCAACCCACTTATCAAGTTCAGTTAACCATTATTTTATTATTTAGGGACATGTGTACCGGTTAAATCTCACTTAATAATATGTACATTTCCGTGAATATTCGTAATTTAAATAAAGCAGACTTCCTTGAATCCATCAGACGTACAGACAAACCAGTTTTGTTGTCATTAAACTACATCAGGCCACGATCAATGACCCACGCAACAATAACGCGCATAAAATGGATAAATAAAATAATAGGTACAGTCGCAATTACTACGATAAGATGAAGTAAATAATAAATTCTGAGTATCTACTTAATCTGAAGAGCTTATTGTTTCTATAAAAAACTGATCGACTATACTTATATTTATCGAGCTAAGAGGTCTTAGCTAGGTTAGTAAATATTAAATTGAAAAGAAAAACATTTAGGATAGCAAACCGGTAGCTAATCGAGAAAGTTAATCAAATTAAGGCGGGAGAAGTCAAATAATTCTTTTCCTTTTTCAAAAATACTAATAAAGTAGCCATTCGATTCTAAGGTCGACTTGAAAATAAAATAAAAGCAATAGTCATATAAGAGGCATAAGTCAACTGCCGCGTACGGTCCAACTATCTCGCTATCAAAGGATCACTTTTTCCTAATCTTCCCCTCTACTCTTCTAATATTTTCTTTGATAAAAACCTTTACTTGACAATAAATAACAACACAACAAAAAAAAAGAATTAGCAATATTGGTCCAGGCATTGTTGAATTATGCGCTTACCAACATATTTTGCGATCCATTTTTTTATATAAGAAGAAGAAGATAAGTTTAATTTTAAATCATCAAAAAAAAAACCTAAATTGCCTAGATCACAACATTTGAAAGAAAACCTTTTTTTAATTCTTATTGATTCCATAATTAGTAAAGACTTATAACTTCTTACCGTGATTTTCATTTTTACGCGAGCACTTTTTTACACAAACAATTTAAAATTAATAAAGTCACGTCCGTCGCCCGCGCACTTTGCCTTAGCACTGTGTTGTGTTATTTTATTTAAATGTTTTGTAAGGTCTGTGACCACAGACTATCATAGGTACCAACTCGATGCGGTAGACTAATTGACAAATACATTCTGCCTTTACGTAGGTACATATTATTGTGGTTTGAAACTACTTACTCATTTTAATTACAATTTAATCGAACTTCATAGGTAGGTACTGTATGGGGAAGAATGACAAACATAATGCTTATACGTGACCCATTTACCACCAGTTATATTTAGAATACTTACTAAAAATAAAATAAAATATTTTTCAAAATATATTAGTGACAACAGGAAGACGTAGCAGGCACAAACCTGCCGCAAGGTAGACCGATGGCGACGTCAGGTTCGCATGGAACCTATGGGTGCAAGTTGGACGTCTTCAGCTAATAAAGATGATGAAGAAAGATAAATGAGTGGGAGAGCCATGCTTCGGCACGAATGGGTCGGGTCGGCTGGAGTGATACCACGGCCTCACAGAAAACCGGCGTGAAACAACCGCAGCGTTGTATTTCGCCGTGTGAGTGAGGTTACCGGAGGCCCAACCCTTCCCCTACCCTAATCCCTTCCCAGTCCCAAAATCCCCAAAATCCCAATCCTTAAAAGGTCGGCAACGCACTCGTAACTCCTTCTTTGTTGGGGGTGTCCATGGACGACGCCGATTGCTTACCATCAGGTTATCCGTCTGCTCGTTTGCCGTCCTATCACATAAAAAAACATGAAGTCGTACTTAGTCAAATTCACAAAAACCACGGTTGATTGCACCTACTGAACTGCTTGATTAACTAGAAAAAATAAATGCTTTCTTACCATCTGTAACAGGCACATGATTGGCAAAAATGGGAACTTGTAGTTTTATGGGTACCAGCTTTGTCGGTTTTCCCTTAGTTTGGGGAATAACAGGATTATTCATCAGAACCGCGAAAATCTTCCGGAGTCTTGTTCCCCGAAAGGTATAACCTGGGTTTCTTCAAGGCTTGACTGTGAGTGAGGCGAAATGCCAGCTCATTACTAAAAAAAACCGATGTTCTTTTGTGTGTGCTGATTAACCTCGGTGGTTTAAATAAGTACCTAGTGGATAAAATATTTTAGCTAATTCGAAACTAAGCATTTCTTGGTTTTGTTAAAACAATTGTCATGTTCTTGATAAAATATTTGACTGTGCACTTGTATCACTGTAATGAAACCAATGTATGTACATAATGTATTGTCTTTCAATGTTCTTAGGACAAGCTCGTCATACGAGTATAACCAGCCAGGATCTATCGTAGAGACCAAGAAAATACTGAAAGGGTAAAGTGTAGTGCATTCTGCAACATAAGTGCCTACATATAACACTGTCTTGGATTCAGTAGTAACGATCAATTCAATGACATAGGTACCTAAAGTGTGGGAGAGCCAAGCTTCGCTACGAAAGGATAGGGTCGACCAGAGTGATCGCACGGCCTCAAAAAAAACCGGCGTGAAATAACCGTAGCGTTATGTTTCATCGTGTGAGCGAGGTAGACGGAGGTCCAACTTGTTCCCCTACCCAATCTCTAAACTTCTGAAATCTTCGCCTTCCAAAGGTCAGCAACGCATTTGTAACTCCTGTGTGTTGTTGTTGCGGTGGCGGATATCCAAGGGCTGCGCCGATTGCTTGCCATCAAGTCATCCTGCTCGTTTGCCAACCCATCACAAAAAAACTTATTTAATTTTAAAGTAGACTATCTGCGTTCCTTGTAATTTCTCTACTCTTTGTGCGCCAGCGTCCAGTGACTCATGTAATTCGTGTGTGAGTCAGTGCGCACATAACACGCCGTCTGCCTTGTTTTCTACTAGACGTGACGCACGATACTTCCGTTCTTGACCTTATTGGAGAGATACTGGCCCACACCAGGTGTGGGGTACTTCTAATGGGTGTTCTCGCATGACCATCAGATCAGAAGAAACAATACATGTATGTGTACAAAAGAAACAGTATACCTACTCGTAAATTTAAGGAGTAGGAATCTACACTAATTTGTGTTATTACTTTTATTTTATTTATTTATTTATTTAATTATTTATGCACATCACACATACAGTAAATAGAGAACAAATATAGAGACAGAGGTACATAGGTACTGCATATTCCTATATGGAATATCTTCCTGCAGTCCTTCGAAAGGAAAAATGTAAGAGACATAAGACACTGTGTGATAAACTAAAACAACAGGAAAAAGAGAAATAGGAATAGGATTTTACATAATATCCTTTACATATTTTACATTAATATCTCCTGTGTCGTGGGAGCGTTTACAAACATACAATTTCCCCACTCTCCCAGACCCCTAAACAACAATTTGTGGATCATAAAAGGTTTAAAGTTCAAAGATCATAGGGCTTCGGAAAAACCACAAGCGATTCATTAAACAGTTTTAATATACCTGTCAGGTATTCTGTAGGTCTATACCTACGTGACAAAGGGAGCGATGACCAGCTCAATGTACCACGATTCCTTTGTTAGTAATAATGACTATTTGAGAGTCGTAAGATGATATCATTTAGTTTAAATATAATAATATGCCTCTAATAAACGAGGAGATCAATAAACGTATTTACATAATTAGTAATTTTACTGTGACTCGATCATTAATATTCATTGTTAAGTGTAATATGGTTTAATAATATAATGGTAAATAAAGGATTACTCTACTAGGACCTCTTGCTAGGTGGACTGTTGTCTACCATTTGTTTTACCCGCTCACCGCTTGTCGCGCCGCATTTCGCGCCAATCGCGCCGCAATCCGCGCCGCGCTTGGCTGTGGCCAGGGGGTTAGAGTCGCGGGAAACCAATGGATGCAGGTGGCAACTTGTCGTTTGACGTGGCAAACTAAGGGGAAGGTCTTTGTCTAGCAGTGGATGCATTTAGAATTACTTTTTTAGAGAAGAGAAAATCTTCATATGACCTTTTCCTGACCTGAGTCAGGGAATGGCTCTTTGAGGCCCGAGCATCGCGACGTACCGTACGTTCGAGTGTGGTCTAGTCGGACGGCCATCTTTAACTACAGCTTTTTTCCGAGGAGAAATTACTGAATTGCTTCTCACATCCTAGGTGGGTTGAAAATGAGTGTCAGACTCTTACTGACTAAAAACCATTTCATTCTTTCTTCTGCTCAAAGCTGGAGCCGCGAACATTATTGAGTTTGATCCGCAATGATACATGGTATGAATTAAAGCCCTGTTTGCCCCCGTATTTTATATGTATAACTCATAGAAAACACAACTTGAGAAAAGTATCTAATGGACAAAGAAAAACCATTAATTTTACCTTTAACAATAGTCGTGGGGACAACTGACTTTCTATGGTTCACGTCATTCGTTATATTATCCTTGTGCCCAACTAGTATGTCCTCAATAATTATACTTAGGTATAGAAAAACTGCAACATACTTTATAATCACTACATAGTATACAACGAAGTCGCTTTCTCTGTCCCTATATAGACTTAAATCTTTAAAACTACGCAACGGAATTTGATGCTGTTTTTTAGTTGAAGAGGAAAGGTGTGATACCACGGCCTTACAGAAAAAACGACGTGAAGCAACCACAGCGTTGGGCTTCGCCGTGTGAGTGAGGTTACCGGAGCCTCAATCCTAACCTTCCCCCAATCCCAAAACCTCCAAATCCCTAATCCCCTAAAAGTCGGCGACGCACTCGTGACCTCTGTTGTTGCGGGTGTCCATGGGCGGCGCTGATTGCTTACCATCAGGTAATGCATCTGCTCGAATGCCGTCGTAACCCACTGCACGCGGTCAGCGTATTTACCGGTTATTTGCGCGGCGATAGTTTCACGATAATTCTATGAAACCACTTATACCTAAGTAGTGAATGGCGATCTGGATGCCAGTTTATATTTACAATAGGTACATAATAAGTATAAGGACTTTCCGTAACGCATTTGTATTCTGTTTTTACCCAGACGTAATATCATGTGCTACTATCTAAAGTATTGTTATGACCTTTATTTCATTATGAATTAAAAACTTGATATGGAGTTTCTTGCTCGTTCTTTGTTATAAGTACGAATATATATAATTGGAACGAGCGCCTCACCACACTTTTCGAATTAATTGAAATACATCTTTTATCTTCTTTAACTTTTCAATCGTAGTGTATAATGATATTTCAGAAAAAAAAAATATTGTATCCTCGGGAAATACACCGACAATACAACTATGAGAGAGTTTTTATTTTTTTATTAATCGTCTCAATTCCTTACTCGGTAGGCAAAATGTTTAATTTTTCCAACAAGAAAAGACAAAAAGTCAAATTTTAAGCGATAGATATGCTACATAAAAAAAGGAGAGCTATACTTTAAAAATCCAAGTACTGTATTGAATCTTAACGAACGAAAATTTAAAACTTATATTAAACGTGAATTGTGTAGACAGGCATACTACAAACTTTCAGATTATATTGAGGATAAGAATGCCTGGCAGCATGTTGATTCGGCTCCACTGGACAATACTCAAATGTAGTCAGCAGTTAGGTAAAATTCTCAAAAATAATGCATCCTTAATTTATATTTTAATTTATGCATTATTTTTGAAAAATCTTTTCGCGTCAAAATTTGACGTCACTTGCCATAGGTACTATTTTGGTACATTTTTTTTACACTACAGTCGGTCAAAGTTGCGAAACTCAATAGTTTTCCATATCACCTTTAGTTAAAATAATATTTTATTTTAAAATGGTACAATAAGTACTTTATTTTTACATTCTATTTAGACACAGCAATACCCTAGATTACAAAACCTCCAAGAAATATCGAAATTATCAGCATTAGCAGTCACAGCATTCAAAAGTATGTCACAGGGTGCTCATTTCCCCTTTTTTTTTTGAAATCAGTATAATTCTGTAAGTACATGGGGTGGATTTTTTAAAATATTTTTCTGAGTACTGTTAGAACTTGGGGCATCGTGGGAATCCAGTTGGACGCCAGGTTCTTGGACACCCTGTATATCCAAAAAGTTTATATAGAAGCACTCTTAAAGATTGTGAGTGATATGTGAGCGCCATGTTCGAGACGACAAAGGAGTAAAATTTTATGATAGGTCCCCTCATTTGTTCTTTTTTTTAACAACTTGTCTCTGCATTGTTCTCACATAAGGGTACACTAATGTATACTATAACTGTTATTATATATACTACTAACTAATGTATATATACTGAAAAACAATTTAAAAAAAAAAAGAGTAACGAATGGAGTTTCTTGCTCGTTCTTCTCCATTCGAATCTACAAATTGGAATGAGCACCTAGCTTCACTGACGAACAGACTGACAGACTACTTTTCTATTTTGACGTTTCAAAAGTACCTATTTATGGTTTAGTTGGAATAAATGATTTTGACTTTGACTTTAGTAGGCACAGGTCGACTCGACCGGAGTGATACCACGGCCTCGCAGAAAACCAGCGTGAGACAACCACAGCGTTCTGTTTCACCGTGTATATAAGCGTGGATAATTCCTTACTATCAGGTAATCCGTCAACTCGTTAGCCGTCTTATCACATAAATATAACTCCAGTTATCAGTAAACTACATACAACCTACTCCATCAACGAAAACAGCGTGATGTAACATCGACATCAAGTTTTAAAAGCTAATAAACCTGTAGTTGACATCCGTTGACGAGAGTCCTATGAACGCTGCGACAAGTCGTGCCGCGGCGTGGAGTGACGGCCAATGATTAAATCCAGCGGTGAGTGGCCGGCTTTACGTCGGGACTCGAGCACTTTTGTCGGACCGTGCGTGGACACGACGGGGCGATATGGTGACCATTTACTTTGCAAATAACTGGACAAATTGGTTTTGAATGTAAGTATGTATCAAAACAGCTTTGGTAAATGACTGAATTGGAAAAAATTAATGAATCAAAAGGATTTATTTTGTAAGTTATTATAAAAAAAACAGAATTAAACTTTAATTACCTGACTTTGACTGCACGGTTGGTGCGGTGGCTGGGCAACTGGGTGCCGTGCAACGTGTGGCGGGTTCGATTCCCGCACGAAACAACTCTTTGTGTGATCCACGAATTGTTATTCCGGGTCTGGGTGTCATGTGTATGTGAACTTGTATGTTTGTAACCGCAACCACGACACAGGAGAAAATCCTAACGTGGGGCAACGTTTTTTTAAAAAAGAAAAGAAAAAAAATTAATAGAAATTATGAAGAAGGATAGGGTTGAACATCACTACAAACTCTACAAAGCATAAAACAAAGTCGTTTTCGTTGTCCCCATAACTAATTTAATTCTTACCTAGTTCCTAATCAATTTCCCTTATAAGTATATTTTTCTACTAGCTCGTTCGCGTAGAATAGTGACTTCCAGCAGATTTTCGGTTTAAAAACTATCCTCCTTTCTCATGTCTGTACCAAATTCCACAAAAATAGGTTTAGTAATTTAGGCGTGAACAAAAGACAGACAGACAGACAGAGTTACTTTTGCATTAGTTTGGATTGCTTATCTGACGGTCTAAATAGACTTTTTTAACTCTATCATCATCATTATTAGGTATAAGTCAAGGTTTCATCATGTCACGTCTTGTCAAGTCTAAATCAAATTAAAAAATCCATGGTCACTCTACTGTCCCGTAAATGGAGTTCCACAGCTTGGCCGCGATGGTGCTTGTTGTTTGACAGACGGACGCGTTGCCATGACAACGCGTAATTACCCCCTCACTTGAACACATCACAGGACGAGATGCAATAACTACAGTAGTGACATCTATGAGGATTTTATAGTACTTCTTTCGTTTTGATAGATTGTTATTTATCTTTAAATATAGGTTTTTTTGTGAGGGGAAAATCATCAAATGACTTCTCCCGCCCAGGGCGGGGCGGGAGGGAGTGTCAGACTCTTACTGACTAAAAACTCTCCGTTCCTTCTCCTGCTCTGGGCCGAGGTCGCAGTTCCTCATTGCGCTTACCCCGCAACCCTGGCTGAACACCAGCCCTATAGGGCCCGGTCTGATCTTTTAAGTATGTAAAGGATGGTCCTTCTTCGAGGGTAGATAAAGATTTATAAAGTTTTTATGTTATGTAACTTAATTTTTTTGTGATTGGTCGGCAAACGAGCACTGATTACCTGATGGTAAGCACCTGTGGTTACACATATTGTGGTGGGTACCTGGTGGTTACGGAGTTGCCGACCTTTTTGGGGATTTGAGTTTACGAGATTTATGGATTGGGGAGGGGCTGGGGGAAAATTTTGAATTTTATGCTGCACGATTGGCACAGTGGCTGGGCATCCGGTACTGTGCAACGTGTTGCGAGTTCAATTCCTCTACGAACAAATTTCGGTGTGTACACAAATTGTGATGTATCATGTCAAAAATTGAATGTTTGCAAATGCACTTACAACACAGAAGAAAACCGTACGTAACCGTACAACAGGTTGCCGGGGTTTCGGGGTAAGCGCAATGAGGTACCGCGACCTCGGCACAGAGCAGGAGAAGGAACAGGGGGGTTTTTAGTCAGTAAGAGTCTGACACTCCCTCCTGCCCGGCCCTGGGCGGGAGAAGTCATTTGATGATTTTCCCCTCACAAAAAAAACCGTACAACAGGTTGGGCATCCATTTAAAATAAAGGGTTTTTTTTCGCCAATGATACCTAAAACGTAGGTACAGTCAACGAAAAAAGTATGAGTACCTAAGTAGATATAGGGAAACAGTTGTCGTTGTCACTTTTTTTAGTATAAGGTCAATTTGTATAGTCGAATAAGTGTAATTATAACTTATTCTTCTACATATTATTATGTACGTATATTTTAAAGAATAACGAATCACAATCTTGTTTATCATGCTTCGGTATGTGCCGGCTTGACCGAAGTGATACCTCGCAGAATACTGGCGTGCAACATCGCCGTATATGAGTGAGGTTACCGGAGGCCTAATCCAATAATTAAATCCCTAATAGCCTACAAAAGGCCGGCAACCCACTTGTAGTAAGTAACTCCTTTGGTATTACGAGTGTCTTCCGACCGACCTATCCCAGAA